TTTATTATTTTTAAAAAAATCCCACCCAGTCATCGCGGACTGACTATACATTTTCCTTGGTGTTCTAAAAAATGAGAGAAAAATAAAACTGTTTGTCTTGAAGCACTGATTGACACACATAGTCAGCGCTTGCTTACCCTTTTCGCGAACAGTTGGTGTCATCACTGATTTTCAGTGACCCATTTATATAATGTTCATTACTAGTTATGCCCTATGGAATCTATTTTAATGTGTCCCAGAACGCCATCTCTTGGCTATGATGTGGGTACCAACAGCATGTCATACTGACCAGGAAACATTCATACGGCTATGTCATATACGACGGCACCGGTCCCATGAGTGGGAAGGATATCAAACCAGGCAGTTCGGAGCCGCCTTAGTGAGGCAGGAGTCATAGGTGTTGTCTCTACGCAACATCATCGCCAACTGCGATGTCAGTCGTGTCAGGACGGTGCGGTAGCCTAGTGATTAAAACGTTCCCTCGTTGTTCCGAAACTCCGCTTTGATATTGCTGGAATAGTGCTAAAGGCGGCGTAAAACCTAACTCAATCACTCAATCGGTGGTGTCAGGCACGCATAGTATGGCCAAACCAGCTATGGGGAAATGTTTAGTTCATCGACTAGTGAAGATTTATGCTACACCGAGTTGATGGGAGAACCATGGTGTCGCCATGTGTACCGACGGGAGGTCGGTATATTTGATGGTGACAGTGTAATTATGTGGGCGGTAGTCAGCCACACTGGCAAACAAACTTATAGCAATTGTGATGAAGCCCTACAGCCGAACGTTGTTCCGATTGTAAACCCTGCAAACGTCATCTTTCAACACGACAAGGCTAGAAAGGATACAACAGGTTGTTTTAATGTGACGTCTTGTCCCATTCCACAAAACAGCCTGAGCTAAGGTTAACCTAAACCACTAAGGTTAGAAATAAGGTTTCTTCAGTCTGAAGCTACACCAGGTATTCACGCAAGTCTAAGCGACAACCTTGGTTATTAATGGATAGCGTTTTCAAGGAAACCAAAATGTTTATGTGATCACAAAATAAGGGATGTTGCTTCATCGTGTTCACAAGGAAGTTTAAAAGTATCTTTTAATTCTAGGTGCTTACATCACTAAGGTTTCGCCCAAAGATGCATTAACCATTAAATATGTCATTATTGGCTGGTTTTGTGAATACATGTGAGGTGAGGTGAAATTGGGTTTAACGTCGCGTCCAAGATTATTGCACTTATATAGCGACGTGCATGCACGTGTATGTGTGTGTGTGGCTGCTTGTACTAGTCCGGACTGATGCCGATTTATAGTGCTAGCTCACTGAGATACCATGCCGCAATTTAACATGAATACCCCACTCCGAGCCGACCAGTCCTTGTTTTAGCCCCTTAATGCCGAGCGCCAGACAGGGTAACAACAAGTACAATCTTTTAACGTCTTTTTGTATGACGCGGCCGGGAATCGAACCCTGGACCTTCCGCTCTCCGGGCGGACGCTCTACCACAAGACCACAGAGGCGGTCTGTGAATACATGTGCCTCAAGACGTATGTTTCTGTTAGGGAAGATGAAACATTAACGAACGCACGCATTTCACAACTGATACTGATACTTTTTCTCTGTCCCCATCGGATGGTGGCATTGCAGACTATACAACTCACCTACTTAAAACGTATATGTTTGCTGGTACTATACAAAATGACTAATTACATTAAACACATGACTTTTAATAATATTTGTCATTTAACTAATACGCGTATTTCATACATATGTGCAGAACATGATAACCCGGAAGTCATTAAAATAGTAACTTTGTCAGGTCACTCAATGAGATAGACATGTTATTTGACGAGAAAAAACAAACATCTTTTACATATATATATTATTGTTATAAAGAATATAATATAGAAATGTTATTCTTTCAATTAAAGTGTTAATTTACCTTGTGGTCGTTTCAGGTATTAAGTTTAATTGGTGGATTAAATAGATTGCATTGTGTTCAACAGTTTACACGTGAAACTGTTATAAACTCAGTAGCAAAAGAAACTATACCTTTTATCATATGTTTGATTTTCAAATGAAACTTTCTTACGTTAGTGATATTATATAAAACAAATGTAACTGTTGTAGGGCTCAGTTAACACTCAAAGAATGCCTTACATGATTATTTTTTTATGGAATATAAGTTGATTTAAAAAAAAAAAAAATCTCATAATACACTGCACAATGTCTGGTGGCTATCTTAGATATCTTATCTTTGAAAGAAAATAAATTTGCATTTTTTGTCAGCACAAATTTACAAAATTTCAAACATGGTCGGAGTCATGTGGTTGCAAATTCGTTTCTTAGGTCTCGTTGAACCAATTTATTTTTACACACAGCGCTTCACTTTTTACAAACTGTTGCAGGAATGAGTGGTGGTTAAAAAAACAAAATCAAATTTAACAACAGTTCTTTCAATTTCATTTACATAAACAACAAACGTATTCTTTCTTTTGCCCCTCAGTATATTTGATTAGAAATACGTGTTTTTCGAAATTACAATGCTTTAACAAATACGGTAAACACTTTCATTTGAAAAAAAATGCCACGGGCTTCGTATTACATATTGTATTTATCCATTTCCGAAGAATTTGGAATATCTGAGCTGGTGTAACATTGTATTTGTGGGATGACATTTACGGCCACAATCAACCAACTCATCAATGTGTTCAGTCATGTTCAACATTAAATGTCGTATTATTTCCTGCTCGCTGTCGTATCGTGTAAAGGTTTCGGTTTATGATGGCGTATCGTGTTCCTCACAGAATTCAGAGAAGATCTCTATATGATTGGAAATAAGCAAGAAAACTGTTGCTTTGAATATATGTAAATGGTATTTTTAATCTTCTTGATTATGAATATAAAGAGTTATTATACCCAAATGTTGTAGATATTTACGATAGATATACAATTTTATCAGTCGATGTCATTAATGACGAACGTAGTAAGGTTACTATTTCCCAACAATATATAAACTTTAAACCATTTTAATAATGTATAAGTTTGCAGCTCAGGAACAAAATACGGATTACAGATTTGAACTGAACGCAAATACGGTTGTGTATGCATGCGATGACTGGATTTGCGTTATGATTCAAGTTGAACATAATTTCGGCATTATTTTCATATGAAGCGACAAACTTGACACATATAATAATCCTTTATTGCCGAATTCACCCGTGAAGATCCGGGGGAGAATAGGTCTTCAGCAACCCATGCTTGCTGTAAAACACGTATATGTTTGTCGCAAGAGTCGACTAACGGGATCGGGTGGTCGGGCCAGCAGACTCTGTTGAAGCATGTCACCGATCTCAATTGCGTGGATCGATGCTCATGATATCAATCACTGTATTGTCTGTCTCCTGATGTCTGTCCTGACTCCAATTCGACACATTAAAAATTCCTAAGTTGATACCACAGTAGATCTTTGATCATATTGTATTTCCAATGAATTTCTGACTGATTGAAATATGAGCATTTCTTTGAGCGAGGAGACATTTGTAAATTAGAAAATGCCTGAGAAAGTTAAGTATCATTTCGTACATTAAGGGTGTGAGTGGGGTAGCCTAGTCGTTAAAAGCGTTTGCTCGTCACGCCGAAGGCCCGGGTTCGATTCCCTTACATGGTATCCCCCGTCGTGATATTGCTGGAATATTGCTAAAAGCGGCGTAAATCCATATTCACTCTCTCACTTGGGGATCAACGGTATGCATTTCAATAGTGTTCATAAGCTCAATGTTCCTGAGAGAGAGAATCGTTTATCCACTTTTTTACTGGTTATCAAAAGTAATAAATATATTGCAAGCGATTCCGTGGCATTTGATCGGCTGTTCATAAACAGAAAAACGTAACATGTGTTGCATTATTGCTCTGAACGATGTCACTGTTTGTTTTGGTTTTTGGTTTTTGGTTTTTGTGTTAATCATCATATTCGCGGTCCGTGAATTTAGTTTTGTTGACGTCTTAAGTCAGTGGCTTGAGTGTAAATAGTTCAAATAAAGCTTCAGTGGCAGGGAGATCATGAATATTCATTACATTTGATTGTGACGTCATGTGAATTGATGACGTCACAATGGAATGTGAAATTGTGTTGTAGCAATATTTGTAATTCAAGTGGTGATGAATCTTATTTCATTTCTATGTTATTAACGCCGCATTCAGCAATATTCCGGTGGTAATCAGTATAATTACTGTCTCGCCGCATTTCGTCCATAACGTGCATGTTTTGTTGTTCATGCGAAGCCATTTCACCTTGCAGGGTTCTTTTACATACCGTCCGCGTGTGTTATACGCGATGCAAAACTTTCGTTGTACACCGACGTCACCATTATGACGTCATATCGCTCATTGTGACGCAAAAAATGGGACCTCACAGTCGTATATAGAAAAGTCCCAAATTCCAAGCTCTCTCTTGTTCCCAAAACTTACAATACATACTCTGTGTTGATTTCTATCGTGTTTTCTGCGCGAAATGTTTTGCCACACATCCTTTGAATTTTATAGTAACCGTAACTTTGCATTTTGTAACCTATACTTGTAGGTATTAATATTTAAATACGTTTACCGACAATGACTGAAAAAAGTAATATTCCATGAATGTTATCTTCCGCGGTGATGCGGCCGTCAAACCAGCTGTTTCAATCAAAGAGGATTTATTTTGATTTAATCGCCTCTGATTGACCAATCAGAATCGAGTAATTTCCAAACTCTTGGAAGAATGCTGCGTAACATCCCGTTATCTCCCGACGTGATCTGCCATACAGACTACTTCATTTTTAATCAAGGCCGCTGAGCTTAATTATCCACGCCGGAAATTAAAATACTAACAGTCTGCTCCTCGTATGTGAAAGGATTTTCTTCCTTTGAAGTTCAAAGCACATTTTATACACATATTTAGACTGAGAACGTCGTAGTTAAAATCCGGCAACGGTGACCCCTACCAGCTGAAAATAGACTCGCCCTCAACGACATGGCGGCTTACTTGAAGTAATCGGGCCGGGCATATTTATATATTTCCGAATATGAACTACGTTAACACCAGCAAATGCAAAGCACGACCAAGTGCAAGTGTAGTGCAACGCCATGGTATGAACACAACTGATCAACAAGCATCATAGAGCGTCGTCCCGCCACTCAATTGGTAACTGCCGGTAACCTGTCTCGGAGCTCGGACAGTGGTGAACTGTAAGTGATTGAAGTGTCGAATTTCAACACGTCGTCGATAATCGACATGTTTGGTTCGTACTGTTGTCAGTTCATGTAAATAATTGATAACAGATACGGGTCGATTAGTACAACATGTATTTAACTGTTTCTGTGAAGGCCAAAAAGACTTTTTGATGGAAGTGCCCATGCTTGAGAATATTTTGATTTTGGGGGGAGTTACCTCCCTTTGGCTCACTTCCCAAAACAACACAGTTGTTCATTTGATAATGGGCGATGTACAATGTGTTGGATTAAGTTTTAAAACTTTTTTTTTCAATTTATTCATCAATAAGCAGTTAGCAAATGCACTGTTTTTGTGGATCAAGTTTGCTGTGTGACCACTTGTAGAATGTTACAATACACTGTAACATTGTTACAAGTAGTTCTGTCAACAACCAGTTGCTCAGGTACATGTTCCACATTGTATCCTGAAGGATGAGTCATAGATTGTGATCATTTGAAAACCACAATGCAGTATGAACTAGATGTCACAATTTTCTTAAAATAAAAATACATTTTCTTGAGTAACATGTATTTGCACATTTAGATCTACTTACCACCACAGATTGAATCTTTGCAAACAAGACAATTCAGTTTGTAATAACTACAAGTGATAACAAAACATTTGTCTCTCTGTCTCCAATCACAGTGTTCTGGCAAGGTACTGCCTCACGAGATTCTCACAAGAATTTATTGATTGTTCCATGACATTATACTCAGTGGGACATCGGGCGCTTTCATGTAGATGGGTTATTTTATATGATTATGGGAGTCACTGACTGTCTCAAAGACAGCTTATATTACTTAGACCGCTGCTTCTATTACTGAATGTAAACGTATTGGTTTCCATTACCTTACGTGTCTGAATTTAATATCAGCGCCTTTCTTTGGCAGAAATGGTCAAATCAGAATCGAGTTTGCACATTTTTGCAAATATAGTAGTCACAGTTCTGATAATGCCAAAGATGTTTCTGATATGCCCTGGTATCGCAGAATCGCCGACCACAAATTATGTTAGCTATACACAGAATGTTCCTGACAGTAGTGACCGTAGTGTGAGACTGAGAAAGGTAGAAATATGTCAGCAAGCCTGGCTTCATGACTGCATGTGGTGGCAACATAACTCAGAAAGAAATACTACGACATGTCCGCTCTGTATAAATCATGTGAAATCTATGCTCAATGACAAAGTCACATTCTATTTTTAGAACAAGTACCTTGAGGAGACATGCTGACAGCAGTGATCACACACAAACTATTAAGGCTGATTATATATGACATCGGATGTCCTCGCTGCAAGACATAATATTTGAGATGACGTGCTAAAATTCTGAGTATCTCTAACGTTACGTTTGGACAGAGATTCTGCAGCAATAACCTGCATAACATGGGGTTTTAAGTTTTATATGAGTTTGGCCCCATAAGTTCTGAAAATGACCCCATGTATTAAGGAGGAAGGGGGCTTAGTCCCCGCTAGTTCAGTTTCTTGGCAGAACACTGAAATCAATAACATGTGCGTCAATGTCAAGTCAATATATAACAGCGGTCATTATCATGTTTATTACAGCATCGCTATTGTTAGTATAATGAAATGAAATCTAAGAAAGATCATGCTACTTTGAAAAACCTACGTTGGTATGTTGGTGTTGTTGCGAGAACTAAGATCTGATTTTAATGAGATTGGCAATAAGTCTGCACGTTTTTCATTCAGCAAGGTAATTCTTTCAGGTTTTGTACCGTTCAAGTTGCTGCTCACTATGTAACAAATCTGGGATAACACTGTCTTAGTAAAGTACAGATTCTCATACTTGTTTTGGGTTGAGTCCCGTCCGGGACCTAAGGCACCTAATCGCCAGCACACAAAGTCAGCGCTCTAACCCACTCAGCCACCGAGGCTTCCACAATAATGAAACTCCAACAACTGGTAGTCTAGATCACATACTTTGAGTACCCTTCTGACAAATGTAAATTGGCACGGCTCCCATGGCGATTTGTGTGCTTGCGATTAGGTGCCTCACCCTGGCAAGTGTGGGTTTGAATCCCGGACGGGACTCAACCCCCCAAAAGTACGAGAATCTGTACTTTACTAAGAAAGTATTATCCCAAATATAACATTTGTTACATTTGACCACTTTCTAAATGGCATTGTGTATTCATATGCTGCGCACTACTTTAGCTTGAACGTGACATGGAATCCCTTTCACCTTAACCCACCCACTACTTTACAAGGCGGTGGGTGGGGAACTCCAGGTTTAGATCTTGTCAGTCAAGCCATGTGGGTGGATAGTTTTCATCTCAAAGATCCATTTGATATCAATGGATTGGCGCCTAGCCGTGCTTTGTTCTGACTCAGGGTCAGATATCAGTTGTGAATGATCTGTTGTTGCCGGTCTTTGGTAGAGTGCCCTGTTGAATTGAAATGACTAGCAATGTGTTTGTCTCTAGGTGATTGATGTCGGCAAAGTGTTCTTTGAGTTGGATGAGAAGTGACGTTTTGTTTCTCCTACATTCTGTTGCCGGCATTTCAACCAGTTGAATAAGTAGATTAAGTTTCTGTTTTTACAGCTAAAGTGTGTGCAGCATTTATATTACTTGTCTTACATATGAAACCTGAATGTGTTTCTGTCTTTTACGATCACGCAGATTTTGCAGACTTCGTAGAGGGAATTGTCATCCAGGTTTGTGATCATGCGACCACAAATTTGTGGTTTCAGTGGTGAATATTTGATGGCCGCATTCATGAGAATGTCTCTTAATGTGCGTTTTTTCCTGTATGCTGTAATGTGTGAGACTTTGAAAGCTTTTTTGCAGGCATCTGACCCCGTAAGTAGGTGCCAAGAATGTTTTATCATTGAGCTGACCTTGTGTGTAGTAGGGTTGTATCTGTAAGGAAGACAACTGGTTGAGTGTCCTCAGAGAGTGTCTTTTTATCTGTTAAGAGGAGTGTTCTCTCTTTAGTGTTTGTGCTATTTTTGTTATCCGTTAAGGTGTTCGTAGGGTAATTTCACCTAAGATAATACTTGACCAGGTTGTCACTGCGGAACTCATGTTGTGATTGAGAACTGCATATGCTTTTGAGTCTTAGAAATTGGCTGTAGTGTCCTTTGCCTTGATGTGACGTCCCGTGAATATCCTGGGTTAGAATTGGTCTTAAGCAACCCATGCTTTTTGTAAGAGGCAACTAACGGGATCGGGTTGTCAGGTTCGCTGACTTGGTTGATGCATGGCATCGTATCCCAATTGCATAGAAGGATGCTCATGAAATTAAGGATAAGAATTTATGGATGAACAACTTCTTTGTTAAAATTAAGAGCGACGTTTCGGTTATCAAGCAAGTGTTAGAACCTACACTGAGACATCGCTCTGAATTGTAATAAAGAAGTTGTTCATCCATAAATTCTGATCCTTACTTAGTACACCAACTTCTAAATGCTTCTCAAAGAAGATGCTCATGGAATCAATCACTGGATTGTCTGGTCTAGATTTGATTATTTGCAGACCGCCGTCATATAGCTGGAATACTGCTGAGTGCGGCGTTAAACAACAAACAAACTAACAAACAAAACACCTTGATGCGGTGTGGATGGCAGGATGTGTACAGCAGATAACAGTGTGTATCTGTTGGCTTGAAGTATAGGTCAGGATCCAGTTCATAAGTGTTTAGGTTATATATGACCAATGTGTCTGATAATACAGCAGTGAATTGTATGCTGGGATGTGAGTCATTGAATTTCGTTAAACCCGGATTCCAAATTAGGAAGATGTCGTCAATAAATCTGACGTATCGGTCGCGTTTGTCAGTGGTGCTGTTAAGAAGTTTATATTCTGATTCTCCCATAAACATATTTGTGTAAGTGAGGGCTAATTTGGTCCCCAGTGCTCCACCTTCTGTGTGATATAATGTTCGCTAAACATGGTTGTTTTTATGTAGGACAAGTCGTAATTATGAAAGTAAGCTGGTTGGGCTGATTGACCAATCAGGTTTGAAGCATCTAATGGCCTGGGCTTCTGCTCTAAGGCCTTGCGTGTTGGGTATGTTTGTGTATAGGGATGTGACGTCCATTGTGACAAGGATGATGATCAATGCACGGGGAGACTGAAACTTTCTAATCTCGGAATAAGTAAGTGGTATCTCTAATATAGCTGGGGTCATTTTTAACAAACTCTTTTTTATGTTCATCTACAAAGCTGCTAATTTGTTCAGTGGAAGTACCATTGCTACTTACGATGGGGCTGCTTGAAACTAGTCACTGATATTATTTGCACACAGTCCTTCTGTCCAATTATCTTTCTATGTTCAACCCATGTCTGTCGTGAAAGGCGACTATGTTTGTTTGAAGAGGCGACTATCGAGATCGGGTGGTCAGGCTCGCTGACTTGGTTGATGTATGTCATCATATCCCAATTGCGTGGATCGATGCTCATGATATCAATCACTAGATTGTCTGGTTCAGACTCGATTATTTACAGACTGCTGTCATGTAGGTGGAATATTGATAAGTGCAGCATTAAACAACAAACAAACAAACAAACAAACAAACAAACCCTTGGGTGTTAGCCATTTACCCTTTTCTTATCCCATCTTTAGCTTGAATGTGACAGTAAGCCCCTTTCTCCTCACCCCACCAATACTTTAGCTTGAATGTGACAGTAAGCTCCTTTCTCCTCACCCCACCAATACTTTAGCTTGAATGTGACAGTAAGCCCCTTTCTCCTCACCCCACCAATACTTTAGCTTGAATGTGACAGTAAGCCCCTTTCTCCTCACCCCACCAATACTTTAGCTTGAATGTGACGTTAAACCCCATTTCACTTGGTTTAGCTATGTTTATGATATTAAGCGTTTAGCTGCTCTCTGACCATTAAACATTAACTGTTTGTCATATCTCTTAAAGTTGTCAATTACTTATCAATGATCAGAAGATTAAATTTTAAAAAGAATCACAATCATTAATATATTATAATTGCTGACTTTGTCA